ATCTGCTAGCCCTGTGGAACATAGAGTATGCAGAATGTGTACCACTTGCTGGAGTGTTCGCAAGTGACAGACAGAGAAACTTGCATGAGATTGTGGCTTTTCTTCCATTATTAAATGTTTTTGCTGAGCATATAAAGAAGCTGCGATCTTGCAGAAGTCCCATTCTCTAATGTCACACTGTTCATATAAGTGGACCATTTATTTAAACAGGTTTTTTGCAATAATTTATTTTTCATGTAACTATACAGGTACATTGGTGTGATAAGAATGTAACTTCCTTTTACAAACAAAAAAACCCCACTCATATATAGCAAAGGTCACTGCTAATTTGCCCCTCTAAGAAAACTGGAGTTTAAAAAGCTGAACCCAGGAGGCTTTGTATAGCAACTATCAGAAAAATAAATAGCAATACTAACTTGATCTGTATTTTCATGCTTGTTGTAGGGTAGCTTTTGGTGATGTCAGGGGGTGTGGCATATGCAAATCAGTTATGCTAATGAGCTCCTGCACCTCTTTTTCTACGAAATGACCCCTGGGGATGGCCATTAGTCAACTGCAACTTGATGGCACCTGCCACACATTATATTCCAGAGAAATTATCAGAAGCATGATGGAGTTTCTGACTCCCATTCTGAGACTAATGGATTCCCCATGACCACTTACATGCTTTTGGTTGTGGTAGCATAGGGAGCGGTTAAATTATCAGAAGCATGATGGAGTTTCTGACTCCCATTCTGAGACTAATGGATTCCCCATGACCACTTACATGCTTTTGGTTGTGGTAGCATAGGGAGAGATTTCATGTTTGGAGGCTGCTGGTTCCAGAAGCCTGTGGACATTGGATTTCCTGATGTCTATACTAAGGATGTTAATTATGCTGTTCAAACTACGTTTTCCAGTACCTTCAATGCCATTGGACATTGACTAGCAGGATTTAAGATACCTGCTTCCTGTTAGCAAAACAAGGGGTAAATGGCAGGGAATGAAGGAGATCTTTTCCAGCTCAGATTACACTTCAAGCCAGAGAAGAGCTCTCATGATCCCTGTGGGTTGAGGCTAAGTATCATGAGCTACTGTGGTTCATATTTTGAATACGTAAATTAAGAACTATGGTGTCATCACAGGCCTGATGCTGAAAAAGGGAAAAGCATTATCATTTAGAGCTGCTCCCATACTTTCACATTCAAACTGTTTTCCAATTCTTATTTTATTCAGTGGTCTCACTATTAGTTCTTTAAAAGAGATGTGTAGATCACTCATTAAAATGTCAACAGACTATTCTCAGCAAGATCTAATGAAAAATGCAGCAAAGGATGACTTTTCTTATAACCCCTTATCTTGCACAGATAGTTCCAGCATAATTAAGAGAGAAGAAATGCGGAATTTATACTATATATGGTGAAAATCACAGGGGGAGGGAGGAACCTAAACCATTTTAGGAGGGGAAAGTAAAATGGCTGTATAAAATACAGCCCTTCTTCAGAGATAGAGAAATAACAATAATTGGTTAAAAATAATATTTGCTAAGTCTGGAAAATAAGTTATATGAAAATGCATAAAAGAGTAATATGTATTAACAGTGCTATCCAAGATTATATACTGTAAGCTGCATAAACAGAAAATGTAAAAATGCATTAGTTATTAAGAGTTTGTGTGCTTTTACAACCCACAGGAAACTAGTCTGAAATTTTGCAGCAATAAATGCAGTATTCTGTTTTAGGATCTAATCAAATAGCATTTTAATCCAGCAACCCTGTTTATCTGACACTTAAAAAAATTATATCCATTTACTACACACACACACATTATAATATATTGATTGAAAAGGGGGAATAGCTATTTAGTTAGCTTGGTTTCTACTCTAAAACCTCCTCAAATGCTTAAACATATACAGACTGAGTATTTCTTTTTTCAATTGCATTTTCTGTGTGTATATGCATGTGTGTGTGTGTTTGTGTGTGTGTGTGTGTGTGTGTGTGTGTATTTAAGTAGCAAGGTAATAATATATACGGGGTACAAAATGAAAGAAGGGTTATATAATATCATCTAAAGAATACAAAAAGATACAATTGAATTTTTGATAACATAGAACCAGTTCAGTATGAAATATGTATCTAACTAGAGGAAGAACTCATTTCCTGATGCTGTTGAAATCTGAATAGCAATGGAAAATCACATGTAAGTACACTATAAGATATACACATTTTTAAAATATAATTTGCAGCACTCCATCTTCCATAACCTACCTTTTATCCCTCTGAATGCTATTGATTCTTCAATGGAAAGCTGCATGAGTTGCCAACAGGTCTGGTGAAAAAATGTCCCATCTCTTTAATAGAGGTTCCATATATGGAAATGAGCAGCTGAAACGTTTCATATGATGGAGGTAAATAATGTCACCTGGTAAATAACACCCTATTAAGCTTCTGTTAAAGGAATAGGACATTTTTCTTCAGGCATTTGGCAACCCTATGCAAATACTGAAGCTTTCTTTTACATACATCCTAGTAAATTCAAGCAGACATACAAGTAAACACATTCTGAAAAGAGTACGCCCAAGCAGTAAATGGCAAACGGTCTTTTAGATTCTTGGCTCAGGCCTTCCTGCATTACTGTTTCAGTTCTCATCAGCACTGCTTTCAGTCAGCCCATGACTACAGCCTAGCAGTCGCTGAATGGACTGATCGATCCAGGTGGGCAGCCGTTTTGGTCGAAGTGGTAGAACAAAGTTTGAGTCCAATGGCACTTTTAAGAACAACAAAGTTTTATTCAAGGTATGAGCTTTCGTGTGCAAGCACACTTCTCAAGATACATTAAAGTTACCAGTCCATACATACAGGTAGAGGTTGAACAGCAAATTAACATACAACATAATGAAGATGTTTTAACAGTTGCAAACAGGAATAGCAAGCTAAGTTTATATGGTCACCATTTGTTTGGATTTAATTCCAGGGGGAAAACAGTGAAGCAAATAAATATGTCAACATTGGAGACAGATGTGTAAATGCATCTCATAATTGTGGAGCACTAAGAGTAATTAACTGAGGCCCTCTCTATCTATCTCCTCTCAAGCATGGAGGTAACTAACAGCATCCTTTTCTTTGAGGTGAGGTGATAGGTTGTGCAGTGTTATGTCTCCTCCATTACCAGACCAGAGAAATGCATTCCAACATATACCATTCTAAATGACATTATATTCTAATATTAATTGCATTACATTACAATCACTATTCTAATCTGCTATTCCAAATAAGAAATACACTAAAAATATCAAGGATGTATAGCTGTTCTTGGTGAGAATACAGATATAAGGACTGAATGAGTTTAGCTTATGTAGTGAGATAAGAAACCAATATCCCTGTTAAGTATGGGGAGGGGGGGTGTTTCAAATGTTGCAATTCAGCCATTTCCCTTTCCAGTCTGTTCCTGAAGTTCCTTTGCAATAAAACAGCTACTCTGAGGCCACTGAATGTTCTGTAAGATTGACATGTTCTCCTATAGGTTTCTCAGTCTTGTGATTCTTGATGTCAGGTTTGTGTTCACTTATCCTTTGGTGTAGGGTATTACCTGTTTGCCCTATATAGAGAACCAAAGGGCATGTTGGCATTTAATGGTGCAAGAAATTAGGTGCAAGAAGAGGTTTGCCATGGGCATTTGCATGGCCCAGAGTATGCTAATGTCTTTATGGCTGACTTGGAGCAACACTTCCTAAACTTCCACCCACTCATACTTCTCTTATACCTGTGTTACACTGATGACATTTTTATTGTCTGGACACATGGTAATGAAGCCCTGGACATTTCGACCAGGCATTCAATGACTTTCACCCCATCATCAAGTAAAAAATGAACAAATCAGTGCAAGAAATACACTTTCTGGACACTACTGTAAAAATATACACCTTTTACCAGATACCTACTGACCGACACACATACCTACTAGCTCCAGCTTCCATCCTAAACATACCAAATGATCCACTGTATAAAGCCAGTCTCTATGCTACATTCACATCTTCTCCAATCCTACAGACAGAGATTCTCACCTGAGGATCTACAACAAACCTTTTTGGAACTAAAGTATCAACCTGATGAAGTCAGAAAACAGATTAACAAAGCCAGAATGGTACCCAGAGAAAACCTGTTGCAAGTCAGCTCGAAAAGAGATGATAACAAAACACCACTAGTGGTCACTAGGGATGTGAAATCGGTTCATCCGAACCGAAGGCAACCCCGAAAATGGCCCATTCGGACCCCTTTCGGGCTGCTGCAGGCTGATTCAGATTCTCTGATCTAAATCGGCTTGCCGCTGAATTGCCGCCGAATTTCGGTGGCAATTCGGCCCCATTATATCCTATGGGCCATTGAAGTCAATGGCGAAAACATAGGGTATATTCTGGTGGCTGGAGGGGAGGGGGTTTGAGGGACAGGCTCCAAACTCACAGGGTAGCTGCTGGAGCCTCTTCCCAAGATAAAAACCAAGTTTGAAGAACATTGGACAAGGGGGTCCAATTCTACGGGCCCCCAAACAAGTTGCCCCATCCCCTCCATTGTTCTCTATAGTGGGGAAAAAGTAACTTTTTTCCCACCATAGAGAACAATGGAGGGGATAGGGGCAACCTGTTTGAGGGCCCTTAGAATTTCACCCCCTGGTCCAATGCTCTTGAAACGTGGTTGGTATCTTGGGGAGAGGCTCCAGCAGCTACCCTGTGAATTTGGAGTCTCTCCCTCAAGCCCCCACCCCTCCAGCCCCCAGAATATACTCCATGTTTTCACCATTGACTTCAATGGCCCATAGGATATAATGGGGCTGAAATTGACATTCGGCTGTCCGAAAGATTCCCTAATTAGCTCGTACTGATGAAACTGACATGCGGGAGTCTTACTGCCAGCTCAAATTGATTCTACTCGATTCGGCCGAATCCGAATGGGCCGAATTTTGGGGGTTTTTTTGCACACCCCTAGTGGTTACATACAGCTCTCAACTCAAAACAGTTTAACACATCATCAGCAACTTACAGCCTCTACTGGATAATGACAGTTCTCTTTCACAAGTACTGGGGGGCAAACCTTTTCCTGCACATAGACAGCCACCCAATCTCAAACAACTCTTCATCCACAATAATGCAACATCTAATTTAAACATGAATACTGGTACCAGAGCTTGCAATAAACCCATATGCCAACTTTGCTGCCACATAGACCCAGATAACACAGTCATTGGACCTAACAACATTAGCTACACCATCTCTGGTTTATTCACATGCTCATCTTCTAACATTGTATATGCCATTAAATGCCAACAATGCCCTTTGAATCTCTACACAGGGCAAAAAGGTCATCCCCGTAAAGTGCTCTGGTGATAAATTTACAATTCTCACAAAGTTCTATGATGGCTTTGCTTCAGGAGTTTTGATACTCTTCTGCTGCCCCCCCCCCGTACATGTTTTGGTACCTAGGAAAATCTAACATTTTTCTGCCAACAGGCTCGTTTTAAAATCAATTAGCAATCCATTTCCTGTCATCTCTCTTGTCAAATATGAGGCCAGTTTTATTGATTGTTCACAACCTGCTGCTTCAAGAAATGGAAGAGTGACTAACAGTTACATCTTAAATGGCAACATATTATTAGATCTTTTACAGTGGTGGTGGCCCAGGGCCTAGAGATAGTTCCATAGGAAAATATTTTTTGTAGTTCTTTCCTTATGCTATTATTCTAAAATGCCCACAACCTGTTCTATAACAGTAAATAATAGCATACTGTTGCAGTCTTATGTATACTTACTTATTTTTTACTAGGAATAAGGCCCGTTGTGGAAATAAATACAACAAGCTCTAGAAAGAGGCTCTGGGAGACTGCCCCGGCCTTGGGCACTCAGCATCAATTTGGAATGGCGACCTCAGTAGGGTATAATGAGAGTCCACCATTTTCTCCAGGGGAACTGATCTCTGCCATCTGCAGAGCAGTTGTAATTCTGAGTGATCTCCAGCCCCCACCTGAAGATTGGCAACAATGGTTCCACAGGAGGGAATGGATGGTTTGGAGGGTGGAGCTTATGGCATTGTACCTGTCTGAGGTCCCAACCCTCCCCCAACCCCACCATTTCCAGGCTCCACCCCTCAAATCTCCAGGAATGTCCCATCCAGGAGTTGTCAAACCTGTTTCCCTCCCAGCCAACCATCAACCTACCTTTATCTGCCCCTCTGACTTCAATTTTCCATCTCCTCCCCCCTCCCTCCTAGAAAGCAGTTGAAATTCTGAGTGATCTCCAGCCCCCATCTGGAGATTGGCAACAATGGTTCCCCAGGAGGGAATGGCTGGTTTGGAGGGTGAAGTCTATGGCACTGTACCTGTCTGAGGTCCCACCCCTCCTCAAACCTCACCCTCTCCAGGCTCCACTCCTCAATTCACCTGGAATTTCCCAACCTGGAGTTGGCAACTCTATTTCCTTCCCAGCCAAGCATCAACCTGCCATTATCTGTCCCTCACTCTTCAGTTTTCTGTCTCCCCCCACCCACACACACACCTGCAGACTCTACCATGCTCTGAAGCCCTGACTGCTACGTCACATTGGCTGTCATGGGGGGCATCTCAGCAGGGTATAAGGACAAAGAGTCCACCATGTTCTCCAAGGGAACTAATTGCTGCCATCTGGAGAGCAGTTGTAATTCTGAGTGATCTCCAGCCCTCACCCAACAATGGTTCCCCAGGAGGAAATGGCTAGTTTGGAGGGTGGAGTCTATGGCATTGTACCTGTCTGAGGGCTCACCCCTCCTCAAACCCCACCCTTTCCAGGCTCCACCCCTCAAATCTCCAGGAATTTACCAACCTGGAGGTGGCAACTCTATCTCCTTCCCAGCCACCCATCAACATACCATTATCTGCCCTTCTGACTTCAAGTTTCCATTTCCTCCCCCCTCCCTGCAGCCTCTACCTAGGAAAAGTACAGTCTTTTTTCCACAGTGGTGACCAAAGCAGCTCACAGCATTCTCCTCTCTCCCTTTTGATCTGCATAACAACCCTGTGAGGTAGGTTAGGCTGAAAGTCTATGAGTGGTCTGAAATCACCCAATCAGCTTTTACAGGAAGAACCTGAGTCTGGCAGACCCTGCTCTGAAGCACTGACTGCTCCGCCTAGGGTAGCCAACCTCCAGGTGG